GGGGGGGGGGGGGGGGGGGGGGGGGGGGGGGGGCTGCCTGGGCAAGTGCCCCCCTGGCGAATTTCCGGCGAAGTGCTATTAGGGTACCCCTTCTCCGATGGTAGGCTTGATGTGCCCTCCCAATTTTTTCCGGCAACAAGCAGGGTACTGTGTGGAGCCGTGGCAGTTGTGCTCTGCGAAGAAGAAGCATTTTACGGGAAAAAAAAGGAAGGGAAACGACGTCGTAGCTTATTTTAATGCCTAGGTTGTAGGTTTTTTTAAATGCCTAGGAGTTTAGGACTTTGACCAAACACTGCAAACAGTACCCATTCCTTTTTTTTTGGATCTACCCGACTACACTTTAAATAAAAGGTAAACCCAATTAGGGGCAATTACCCAAATCGAGAAGTCTTAAAAAAGGGGAAACCCATCTTCCCCAATAATGACTTTTTATTCATTACGGAGTAAATATTTATTCATGTGTTTTTTGAGAGATAATTAAGTCTATTAAATATTCAATTACTTTGTTTTGTGTTCAATTAATAATATTTTTATTTTATTAATAAAGGTCTACGTAAATACACCTCTAATCTAATTGTGTTATTATTGTTGTTGTTATTTTATTATAAGAATTACTCCATATAATTTCGAACAAATTTTTTACTTAGTAATAAATACGGAGTAATTAATTAACCAAATTGTTATTTTGAAAAAGAACTAACATTTTGTATAATTCATAATAATAACATTTATTGTTACATTTTTTGTGAATAATTTGATTCTTTGAAAAACAATTTAAATCATTTTATGTTGTTTTATTTAAAAAAACCGGGCGCTGCCCCCGGACCCCCGAGGTGTGCCCCCAATTGTGACCTCCTAGCTCCGCCACTGATATGAGCTGTTGTGGGTTCATTAAAATCCGCCCAAAAAGGCAGTCAAACCAGGGGATTACCAAATAAGTCTTCTATATAATGTAGAGATGTTGAAAATATAGTGCCCAATATGGACTATTATGGTGTTGTAGTTAACTAAATTACCAAATACTACTTTTGTAGTTCTGTTCGTCAAGTTTGACTTTTTCAAATCAAATTAAATAAATTTTGAGCTTTAATTACTCTCAATTTATATTGTATATTAGTATAACAAAATAAAATATTGAAACTTCTCAATAAGATAAATTTAATAAAGTCATTTTTTATACAAATATACATTACATTTTTGAGTAAATTTCCAAAATGGTCCTTTATAATAAGGGGTTTTCTAAATTTAGTCCTCAATAAGTTTTAATTACCTACATGGTCCTTTGTAATTGAGATATATTCCCAATATAGTCCTTTGTAAATAATGTTACTCAAATGATGATGAATTGGGAGATGTTTTGGTATTTTGATCATCGAAATTTAAAGTATATTTTCGAAATAGTCATTTCTGTACAACTAAATGTAAAATTTAAAAAATACATTGACTATAAATAATTCATGAATTATTTAAAACTTAGAAAAAATCTTTTAAATTTAAAATCAAATACACATATTTAATTAGAAAAACCATTTTGGGAAAGCACTTCATTATAAATGATCATTTTAAGAATTATTTCTAAATTTAGCGGATAAAAAATAACTAAATGCCCTCAATTAATCCTCATTTGAGTAACTTTAGTTAGGAAGGACCATCTTGGTAATAAATCTCAATTATAGAGGACCACATAGGTAATTAAAACTTATTGAGGATTGATTTGGGAAAATACTTTATTACAAAGGAATATTTTAGGAATTTACTCCACATTTTTTATTCAATTGAAACTTAAACTCCATCCACTTGGTCGGAAAAATTCAAAGTGAACAAATGCATTGACTCGAAAATACACATTACCTTTTTGACATTATAAAAAAATACTACAACTACCATCAATTTTTTTAATTATTACACCTCTCGCAATATTTCACCACTTTCATTGAGGGTAATTTCATAAACTTGGACCTTTTTAAACTCTCTTTAAAATCGTGAATAATTGACTTTGGTAAATTTTTTTTGGGACGGAAAGAGTAGTATTCGGTCCAAGTGTAAGGGATTCTAGATGGGTTATTTATTGTTTTTATAGTAAAGAAGTCTTCTAGAGATGTTGAAAATGTAGTGCCATGTTTTTATTCGTTCTATACTTTTTACATAGTTGGCCAAATCAAGTGGACTAGAGCACTACCCCGTAATGGTCTATACAACTATATATACACAGACAGCCATGTATTAAAATTCACTGGTTAATTTTTTTTTTTTTTGTATAAATATTCAAAGGTTATCTACTAATTAAAGAACTAATAGTTACTTGAGCATCATCATATCAATGGATACCGAAAGTGTTGGAAATGGTAAGAGAGTTCTGATTTTCCCATTTGTGGCCATGGGACACATCACTCCCGCCTTTGAGTTGGCCAAGAAACTCTCCCAAAGAGGCTTTCATGTCCACCTCCTCTCCACTCCCATAAACCTTACTTTCATACATAACACCCACTCTTCAATCCACCTTGTGGAGCTTCACTTGCCGGAATCCCCGGAGCTCCCGCCTCACCGCCACACCACCAACGGCCTCCCGCCCCATCTCAACCACACCCTTCAAAATGCCCTCAGGTCGTCCGAACCCGCCTTTTCCGACATCATGGCCACCCTGAAACCCCACTTGCTCATCTACGACGCTCTCAACCCGTGGGCAGCACGGGTGGCCGAGTTGCACGGTGTTCCCGCCGTTCAACTCATCCCCACTGCCGCTGCCACGTGCTCCTACTTCATCCACTCATTGACCCGGGTGAACGAAGAGCACCCTTTTCCAGAACTCCATCTGAGCACCTACGACCGCGACAGGATTCAAAAGATCTTAGAAAGGAGAAGAAGTGGGCCAAAGTACCCAGACATAAGCGAGGACAAAAATGTGTGTGTGATCATTGCCTCAAGAGAAATGGAGGGGAAATATATGGACTATATAAGTGAATTGTTCGGAGGTCGTAAGGTCTTGCCGCTTGGGTTGCTGGTTCGCCCGGAGCAAGACGACAACGACCATTTCAAGGCGATCATGGAATGGTTAGGAAAGAAAGCGGAGAAGTCGACAGTGTACGTTTCTTTTGGGAGCGAGTGTTTTCTATCTGATGAGGAAATGCAAGAAATGGCATATGGGTTAGAGCAAAGTAGAGTGAATTTCATATGGGTGGTTAGGTTTCCCAAAGGTGAAGAAAAAAATCTTGAAATGGCATTGCCAAAGGGTTTTCTTGATAGGGTTGGGGATAGGGGGAGAGTGGTGGAAGGGTGGGCTCCGCAGGCGAGGATTCTTTCGCACCCAAGCGTGGGAGGGTTCGTGAGCCACTGCGGGTGGAACTCGGTCATGGAGAGCGTTGTGCGTGGCGTCCCCATCATAGCCATGCCCATGCAATTTGATCAGCCTATGAATGCCAAGATGATTGTGGAGATTGGGGTGGGTGTTGAGGTTGTTAGAGATGACCGCACCGGGAGGTTCGGCCGTGAAGACGTGGCTAAAGCTGTGGCTCGCGTCATTCTAGAGGAAGTAGGGGAAACTGTAAGAAGGAGTGCAGAAGCGATGGGGAAAAATGTGAGAGCCAAAAGCTTGAAAGAGATGGATGAAGTTGTTGCTCTCTTGGCGCACATCTGTGGTCAAGAAAGTATTTAGGTTGATATAGTGTAAACTTCTATTGTTTGTTTGTTTGTTGTTTGGGCTTCTTGCACTCTCAAAGTTTATACACATTTTCAATAATAATATATGTAGACCTAGTCCTCTTCAGCTTTTTCTACTATGTTAACTTTATTGTAAAACCTCTATTGCACACCTAACATCATATCGTTGTAATAAGAATAACTTATATATATTTGATTCGATAAAATGTAAGGAGAAAGTTACGAAATTGAATTTTTACAGCAAGCGTGTCATTTGTGTCGATCTATCTTTTTAGTATAAGATCTAGTAATTTTTCAAACTACATACGAATATATCGTAACTCTTGTTAGTGATAATATAATGTTAGTTTCTTTGTTCCCTCTGTCAGTTTATATAGTTGGTTTGTTAACTTCTGTTGGCATTATATTACTTTGACAACACATATTTTGTAGTCTATAATAGATAGCCATTTTGCTAGTATAGAGCTGCAGCATCCTGTTTGTCATCAAAACCAGCAAGGGCTTTCAGAATGTTGTGTTTATACATGACTCTATGGTTAATGAGTCCTAGTGCTTGCTACTTCCCGTTATCTTCAGATGTTCTCTTCTCACACAAGACAATACGTCTTGAGACATGTACATCCATGCTATACTTGCAGAAGAAGCAGATTCTGCTACGCATAGTTGATAGTGAAATTTGCACTAAATAGGACTAAAACATAAGTCATTTCCCAATGTAGGACTTAAACTTTTTTATTCCCTAAATAGGACTTAATAATGACTGGTGAGAAGAATAATGTCCAAAAATGATGAGCATTTACCATGAATAATGACTAACTCATAATGACCAAAAGTCCTACATTGGGAAATAAAAACATATGGTCCTATATTCGGAAAGTCATTATGTTTTAGTCCTATATAGGTAAATTTCTCTTGTTGATATTCAGCAAGAGACTCCTGATGCACCTCTACTAGGATTTTACTCTAGCATATATATTAAAGATACATTTCACGAGAAGGCAGTGAGTGAAATAGAAAGAAAAGAAATCAACAAGAGCAGAGTGAATAAAACAAAACAGAGTATGATCACGCCTCTCATATAACATTTGAGCGTGGAGATACTAATAAGATGGTCACTGATATTTATTTTGATCATTGGGAGATTATCCAGAAGTTGATTAGTGGTAATCTGGAATTAGGCCAACAACACATCCTCTGTGTAGAACATGAAGAACATGTAACCAATCGTGGAGATAGACGCAAATCCTGTTTGTCATTAACTCATTCTTAAGTAGAGAGATAAATACATTATAAGGTTCTGTTGTGATTGATTGTGTAATTATTCTTACGGTGATTTAGTGGAAGGGTGATACGAACCAACGTATCTGTAAATGAGAGAGCTTCGTGTGTCTCCGTACTCCAAGAAGAAAGGGAGAAAAAGAGGTAGAGAATTAGGGTTTTCTTATTACTTCCAATGCCTTCCCCAAGAAGAGGCTACAACCTTTTATATGAGCAAACCTTAATCATAACTCTAACGTCTACCTTATCTATCTTGACGGTTCAAGAAAAGCGACGAGGTAAAGAACCGTAAAGAAATCCTCGAAGGAGCTTATATTTGCTCACCTAATAAAATCTAATTACAATCAAGATATAAAACCATAAATAAATAATGACCGATAAGTGTAACGTCATGTCTCGTAATCCCGCTGCCACGCTGGTGGCCTCCGCGTCCGCCCGCTTTGCCAGACAACGTCGTCACACGTCCCATCTCGCTCGTGTGGTCTTTCTTCCCCAAGCTCATAACCCGTTCAACGGAATTATATCGTCCCTGGCTCCTCCTGTCATAACAAAGGGCTATTATTACACGAATGTGGGTCTCGCAGACGTAGGAGATTTAGCTTTGAACTGCGTAAATAAGTCTTGTGTTCTTTCTCTGCTTTAACATTTGTGAGTGTATGCCTATGTCAGAGAGAATGTTGTAGCATAATATTAATTATCCGCTTCGGTGACAGTGCTACAACATTGTTTCTCACTATATAGTTGATTGTCTTATTTGCATTTTGGTTCTTAAATTTCGCGGTTGCATCCTACAAACTTTCATATAAAAGAGGAGAGCATAACGTAGAGGGATGTGAGAGCATGAAAGAGCATCTCCACAACCATTTACCCATTTTTGATACTATAAATCAACTCTTAATTTATGATTTCATGGGTGGACAAAAATACAGACCTAACATTTTAATAGAATATTATACTCAATCGAAAAGTTAGTTTTCAAATGATACAAGTATATTACATTACAAATTGAACCGATCAACTTTCAAAATGTTATGAGACAAAGTTTTAAAAAAGAGAACTGAAAATTCAGAACCGAATCATTACTAGTAAAATGTTAAATCAATAGACTAATTGTACATTTTCATCTATAATTTTTCAATATTGGTAGTTCTTATTTCTTTCAAAAAAAACTTTAACTTACTTTAATCATTTACAGTATTCTTAAATTACTTTATTACAACTCGCTCAATTTGTATTTTTTATAGGGAATTAATTTACAATTATGTTTTTTTTCAAAAGATAAGATGACTAAGCAATACAATTGAAGGGGTGTGGTTTTCTTCAAATGTACAATTAGTCTATTTACTATTAAGTTTGTTTTTCAAAAATTAACTCTAAAGTCAAATTAACTTGATGGTGCAATTGAAAGGTGTGTGGGGGGGGGGTGTATATATTCGAGTCGGGGTGGGGTGAGAGGTTTACCGGGAGGCTAGAGAGGTAGGAACCGTCAATTTTACGAACATGACACTCTAGCGTCTTGGGTCATCCCATGATATTGGGTTCGAATGTCATGGGAACCCCTCTGTAAGTAAGATGCATACAAAATATTGGCGCATCACTCTTTTTAAATTTTGTTATTGGTTGTTTATGAATAAAAATATTTTTTAACTCTCAAAACATTAAAGTATAAATTGACATTGGTTTGACATAATACCTTCGTGTTTCCAAATGGGACCGTGTATTGTGACAAATTGAAGTACATTTCATGTTTAGTAGTTTGTTGTTTGACCTATTATTATTTCATGTTTAGTAGCAAATATTTAATTGAAGTACTCTTTTAATGGAAGTAATAATTACTAAGTATGAAATTTTTGAATAAATTGATTTAAAAATATAAAATTTATTTATATAGCACTAAAATATAGTGAATTTTCCAATATAGTGCTATATGTTTTAATTTCCCAATGTAGTACTCCGTACCACCGTTCAATGTCCACCGGACATTGTTCAAGTAAATGTCCACTGCCACTGAGCATTGTTCAAAGCAAATGTCCACTGTCATTGGGCATTGTTTTGACATTGTTCAAGTATTATTTATGGAATGAAAAGTTTTAGGTATTACATTGTAAAAAGATTTATTCTCTCCGTCCTACAAAATCTTTCTTCTTTCTTATTAAATCTTTCCTAAATAACATTTCTCATTTTTATTAAAAAGTCACTTTTACCCCTACTAATTCTTAACATATCTATCATATCACACTTTTGCAATATTAACCTACTTATCAGATCTACTTTTACCCATCACATCCAAAGGCATTTTGAAAAGTCAACATTAAAATACGCTCCCTTTAAATTTTTTAAAAATCAAAACTAGAAAGGTTTTGCGGGACAGAGGGAGAATTTTTTAGTAGAGTATTATTTAGTGCAAATTTCACTTAAAAATGCAAGATTTTGCCTTCTAAATAAAAAAGGAGAATTTATCTAAATAGGACTAAAACATAATGAGTTTCTCAATATAGCCCCATATGTTTTTATTTTCTAATGTAGAACCATTAGTCATTATCCATTAGTCATTATTCAAGTAAATGTCCACCATTACTGTACATTATTCCTCCCACTAGACATTATTAAGTACAATTCAGAAAATAAAAAAGTTGAAATCCTACATTGAGAAATGACTTATGTTTTAGTCCTATTTAGTACAATTTGGGAGGGTAGTATAAGTAGTGGTATATAACATCCACAGGCTGATCATATACTCCGTAGTAATTCAGTTCGGCATCATCATCATCAATGGATACCGAAAGTGTTGGAAATGGTAAGAGAGTTCTGATTTTCCCATTTGTGGCCATGGGACATATCACTCCCTTCTTTGAGTTGGCCAAGAAACTCTCCCAAAGAGGCTTTCATGTCTACCTTCTCTCCACTCCCATCAACCTTACTTTCATACATAACACCCACTCTTCAATCCACCTTGTGGAGCTTCACTTGCCGGAATCCCCGGAACTCCCGCCTCACCGCCACACCACCAACGGCCTCCCGCCCCATCTCAACGACACCCTCCAAAATGCCCTCAAGTCGTCCGAACCCGCCTTTTCCGACGTCGTGGCCACCCTGAGACCCCACTTGCTCATCTACGACGTCCTCAACCCGTGGGCAGCACGGGTAGCCGAGTCGCACAGTGTTCCCGCTGTGCGACTCTTCACTATCGGTGCTGCCGCGAGTTCGTACTTGATCCACCGTTTGTTCCGGGAGAAGGAAGAGTACCCCTTTCCAGAACTCACGTTGAGCACCTACGACCGAGAGAGGCTTCATAAGTTGTTGGAAAGAAGGAGAAGCGCGTCGAAGGACACTACCGTAGACAGAAATTTGTGTGTGTTCATTGCCTCCAGAGAAATGGAGGGAAAATATATGGACTATATAAGTGAGTTGTTCGGAGGTCGCAAGGTATTGCTGCTTGGGTTGCTGGTTCGCCCGGAGCAAGACGACAACGACCGTTTCAAGGCGATCATGGAATGGTTAGGAAAGAAGGAGGAGAACTCGACGGTGTACGTTTCTTTCGGGAGCGAGTGTTTTCTATCTGATGAGGAAATACAAGAAATGGCATATGGGTTAGAGGAAAGTAGAGTGAATTTCGTATGGGTGGTTAGGTTTCCAAATGGTGAAGAAAAGAATCTTGAGATGGCATTGCCAAAGGGTTTTCTTGATAGGGTTGGGGGTAGGGGGAGAGTGGTGGAAGGGTGGGCTCCGCAGGCGAGGATTCTGTCGCACCCAAGCGTGGGAGGGTTCGTGAGCCACTGCGGGTGGAACTCGGTCATGGAGAGCGTTGTGCGTGGCGTGCCTATCATAGCACTACCCATGCAATTTGATCAACCCGTGAACGCCAAGTTGGTTGTGAAGATTGGGGTGGGTGTCGAGGTTGTTAGGGATGACCACACCGGGAAGTTTCGCCGCGAAGATGTGGCGAAATCGGTCGGTGACGTCATTCGCGGAAAAGTGGGGGATACTCTAAGAAAAAGTGTCAAAGTGATGGGGGAAAATGTGAGGACCAAAAGCTTAAAAGAGATGGATGAAGCCATGGGCTTGATGGCACACATTTGTCGGCATGAGATGCAATAATACATAGTATTATTGCTCCAATTGGTTGTTGTTTGAATTCACTCCACATTTATGGTAGTTCGTACGTGTTTTCAATTATGTGGACAGAGTCCTCTTTGACTTATTTCTTGATTGTGAAATCTATAGCAAAGAAAAAATGCTCTAATCCAACTTGTTTGATCAATTTTGCGAGACAAATGATGATTTTTTTGGTTATTTGGTGATTTTGAAGATATATGATAAAATATAGAATATGAAATCTGAGAAAAAATAATTCGGTTTTGAAATCTAGAAAAAAAAAGTGTTTGGAGAAAATGAAATTAAAATTGAACCACAATCACAATTTTTTAAAGGAAAAAGTATAAAAAAAATAAATCATAAACAAAAATATTGTGTAAAAACATGAAAATGAGGCTAATAAAGAGAGATTTCTACATAAAACTTTCATTTGACAACCGCAATGAAATAATGAAACTTTAGATTTCAAATCGGCTAAAAATGCCAATTTAGAGTGGCACTATATTTGAGGATAGTGCATATAATATGATATTTAGACGAGGAATTTTTATCTAAATAGTACTCCCTCCGTCCACAAGTAAACTTTTCGTTCACTATTCACAGGTTCAAACTTTATTCACTTCGTTGGCCTATTTTCGTCACCCATTTGATAAAATAATATAGTCATGTCACTTCTAGTTTTGTAGATCTTTTGATATAATTTTTTAATATGTATTTTTTATTTTTAAATTTTACACCATTTTTCATATAAAATAATTTGAAAATAACTTCAGTCAAACATCGTAACGCGCAACAGGAAGTTTATTTGTGGACGAAGGGAATACTAAGATATAGTGACTTGTTCAATGTAGTACTATATGTTTTTATTTTTCAATGTAGTATCACTGATCATTTTTCAAGCAAATGTCCACCGTCACTGGGCATTATTCAAACTAAATGTCTACCATCACTGGACATTGTTTCCGTAACTAACATTATTCAAGTACTATTTAGAAAATAAAAAAGTGTAAATACTACATTGGGAAATGAGATACTCTCTCCGTCCCACAAAACTCTTCTTCTCTTCTTTCCTTTTTCATTCGTCTCAAAAAAACCTTTTTCTTTTCTATTAAAAAATAACTTTTACTCCTATTAAATTTTAACCTACCTATTACATCATATTTTTATCTATTAATCTATACATCTCATCCTACTTTATCCATCACATTAAAAGACATTTTTGAAAAGTCAACACCAAAATACAATCTCCTTAAATCCTTTAAAAGTCAAAATAGGAAGTTTTTTGCGGGACGAAGGGAGTATGTTATAGTACTCCCCCCGTCCCACAAAATATTACCCATTTAGAATAGTATTTGGTCAAACAGTAACACGCTTTGACTACAAATTGTGAGAAAAGTATATTGAATTATAATATAAATTTAATATAATTGGATTCATCTTAGGATCTAGTTTTGATATATCAAATTTTTATTTCTTTGTTTAGATTATATTTAATTTATGGTCAAAGCGTATAACTGTTTGACCAAAAATATATCAAAATGGGTAATATTTTTTTTGGACTGAGGGAGTACGATTTAGTGCAAATTTTACTATTTAGATTCTTTTTTATTTTTCACCAAAAATCTCTTTTTAAAAACTTTGATTACTAAATACTACATTGGAAAAAGACATACGGAGTATGTTTTATCACCGTTTAAAGAAAAAGTCCATAAATAGGAGTAAAACATATATCATATCTTCAGAATAGGAGCTCAAACTTAAACTCTCCTAAATAGGAGTAATTAATTAAGTAATAAAGAAATCCCCATAAATAACACTAAAAATCTCTAATTAATCTCATCTCTCTCTGCTTCCTCTCCTCACGGCCACCCCACCATGCCTCTCTCTCTTCCCTCTCTCTCATTTTGGCCACCACTCTCACCATTTTGAAGCGTTGCCTCCGTCAAATCCATCCCAAGTGCAGTACATCACCGTCGCCTCACTCCTTGCAGTCATGATCCCGACATTGGTAGTAAATTGCGACATTAGTAGCAGCAAATGGGGCAGCATCCGCAACAAATGGGGATGAGAGCGGTAGATCATGGTGGCGATGACGACGATAGTGCCGATCGTGGCGATGTTAGTGGAGAAACAATGTAGATGGTGGCCCCATTTAATATCGATGGCAGCAGGAGATGCGACGACAGTAGTTGCAATGGCGACGACAGTGACATGTGTGGCAGGGGTTGTAGCTAATATAGGATTTTTTCAATTTATAAAATGTATTTAATTTCATATTTGTAATATGAATAAAACATCTATTTTGGTTAGACTTGGCAAAAAATGACCCTACCTGTTTTTGACTCGAGGCCTGACCCGAAAATACTGGGTTTTAAACAAAGGTTTTGCTGACCGAATCTGAAGTTGACCAAACCCGAAATGACCTGCTAAAAATGGGTCAAACCCGACCAATCCCGAACCCGACCTGACCAACCCGCTAATCTAAGATTTTTTCAGAATCATACATTTTAATATGAAATACAGTGTTATAAAAGTAAGATTATAATTATATTTCTTTGCTTACTACTCATTTTTTGTGTATAGATTTATACCATCATAACAAATTTTAATGATATCGCATAATTATCTTACAATTTTTCAAAATTTCTACATATTTAATTTTTTCCATTCGTAATATTGACACTAAGTCATAAAAATTACTTAAAAATTCAAAAAATAAATGAAACTCATAACCCATTGGGTCAACCCAAACCCGAACTTATCCAAACCCGAAGTAACCAAACCCGAACCCGACCTAACCGACCGATTTGCCAGGTCTAATTTTGGTACATGGTCAATGTTCTACTTCTATTTCTCTTCTTAACTCTAAGATACAAGATTAACTAAGTTAATTATTCCTATTTAGGAGAGTTTATGTTTTAACTCTTATTTTGAAGATATATAATATGTTTTACTACTACTTTGGTCCTTCTCCCATAAAATAATACTCCCTTTGTCCCAATTGAAATTAGTTATTTACTTTTCACAGGGTCAACACTCTTTTTTCCTATTTTCGTTAGTTATTTGATACAATAATATAGTCATGTCACTACTAGTTTTGTAGATCTTTGGATGTAGTTTTTATATATGTAATTTACGAGTATTTTTTTTAATTCTACACTGTTTTTTATATAAAATGATTTGAAAATAATTTCAATCAAACATCGTAAATCAGAACAGCCAATTTAAATTGATGATAGATTGATAAATGTGATATGACAAAAAAATGAACAAATAATTAAATTTTAATTGCATTAAAAAAATTAAATTTTAATTCAAAAATAACACATATACAAATATATGTGAAATCGAAATATACCCGAACCGAAATATGTTTGAATCGAAATATATCCGAACCGGAATGTAACTGAAACCGAAATCGATCCGAACCGTTTGACATCCCAACCAAATCTGAACCAAACCGGAACCGAAAAATATATAAAACCAAATCAAAATTAAACTGATTCGATATGAACCAAACCAATTATAACAAATATCGGAAAGATATTTGAACCAAATTATTCCAAACCGGAACCGATCCAATTGATTCGATTGCCACCTCTAGTTTCAAATGATAATGTGGACATAATAATATGGAGTGTGTCCCTTGAGTCGTATCTTGACTTGTCTGTACTCTGTACCCCAGGTACATTGGTAGGGGATTGTGATATTATATATGAATTATTACAAAAAGAATATGATAATGACTTTGATATAAAACTTGTGATGAACATCTAACATTGTGGTTGTAATACTCCGCAATAATTTAGAATTGTTTGAGCTCCGTCAACCATATACCATAAAAGTAAAATGATCTCAAATAATTTAAAAAAAAGAAAATTTAAATTTACAAATAAAAAGTTTATAAATTTTGTGACTTTTTGTTTGTGACTAAGCATTTTTTGTTGTAAAACTGTTTTAGACTTGGTTATAACGGTGTCGAATCGAGCCAAACCACCTCACTTTGAGTTTGATTTCTCAATATCCTGATTTGGCCAAAAGCTGGGCTTGAACACGAGTCCAGCCTCCTAACATGTCCTAAAGCTTAATTTGTTAGAAATTCTCAAGTTGCACATTTGTAATCATCAAGCCACAGAAAAATAAAAAGACATTGTGAACACTTGTGCTACAACAAGCCATGAGTGTCTTTAATCTGTTCATACAACATTTGTTTGCTATGTCGAACAATAATAACGAACCAGCAACCCGAAGAAAAGAAGAAACGAACAAGCAACACATAACTGTGGCAAAGAGCAGAGAACATGAAGTAAAAGATAAGATATTCCAGTACAAGTTACAAACCTCAAGAGGTTGTCCACCAAAGCAGCCAGCATAAATAATGACAACATGCACACAAGAGATATGTATATATATAGTTCATTTTCAAACTTGAAAAGATGCCCAGTCTTTCAAGGCTGTGTACCATTCACTCATTGCATCCAAAAGGGAAACAGATAAATGGACTTACTTACCAAACTGCATCAAGCATCGTAAGGCCCCACAGTCGGTCCACAGGCTGCCCTATATCTTGTTGAGCTTTTCTGCAACGACAACCGGATTTGCCTTGGCAATGGCATCCCGGCCAGCATTCTGATAGTCATATTGGCATTCGTGTTTGTCTGAGTAACGATGAGTGGCGCAGAAGAGGTTTCCACACTTGCAAGTGAACCCGGTCAGACCCACACGTTTGCGGCAAGTATTGCACCTGTTTGGCCCTTCTTTCACCACCTTCGCCCTGGCTTCGCTCTGATCGGCCGTTGAGGATGAATCTGCAGGAGAAGCTTGAGAGGAGGAGATGAGCTTCAGATCTACAGGTCCAGATTTCACATCAATCACACCGGCAACCGTAGGTTCTTTGGGGCTATTGCTTGTGCTTCCATTGACAAAGTTCTCAATGGACGAAGCAGCAAGCTGAGCCTGTTCCTTCTTCAAGACCATGTCTTTGTGACACTTGGAGCACATGTTCATGGTGGCTGCGCTGCCAAAGAACCCGCAATTGTTGATGCAAAAGGTTGGACCTTCTGAGGCTTGGAAACCTGTCTCTTTTGATGACTCCATCCTGCAATGTCCTGCCGCGCAGATACATATATGATTTACTAAAAGGCAAAGATT